AGTCCCAGCTACTTGGGAGGCTGAGGCAGGAGACTCGCTTGAGCCCAGGAGTTGGAGGTTGCTGTGAGCGTGATGCCATGGCACTCTACCCAGGGGGGATAGCTTGAGGCTCCGTCTCAAAAAAAAGAAAAAAAAATATTTGTGGGACATTATTTAGGTAATTATAAAAGTCATAAAATACTGACCAGTGAGAAATTAATGATAAATGTTCTTATTCCAGGGCCAGGTGTGGTGGCTGACACCTGTAATCCTGGTACTTTGGGAGGCTGAGGCGGGTGGATTGCTTGAGCTTAGGAGTTTGAGACCAGCCTGAGAAAGAGCAAGACCCTATCTCACAAAAAGAAAAATAGGAAAGAAAAAGTTCTAGTTCCAACAATATGCAACTTAATCCTGAAAACTTTTCTGCTGTGAAACATCTTAAAATGCCAAATTAGAAATATCCCATTAAGTGTAGAGCTAACTCATTACAAAGTAAGAGAAATTTCCTGGCACTAAAGTAAATAATTGAAAAAGCCAGTATACTTGTGAGCAGACTTGTGGCTCCAGGGATGGGTTAGGGAGTGATGGCAAATGGGGCTATGTTTCAGAAATCTACAGTCTTAGGTTTTGTTTGTTTGTTTTTGAGACAGAGTCTCACTATGTCGCCCTGGGTAGAGTGCTATGGCATCGCAGCTCACAGCAACCTCAAACTCCTGGGCTTAAGCGATTCTCTTGCCTCAGCCTCCCAAGTAGCTGGGACTATAGGTGCCCAGCTATTTTTTGGTTGTAGTTGTCATTGTTGTTTGGCAGGCCTGGGCTGGGTTCAAACCCTCCAGCTGTGGTGTATATGGCTGGTGCCTTAGCCACTGAGCTATAGGTGCTGAGCCGTTTTCTTTTTTTATAAAGCATATAATAATTTATATCAACATAGACATTTATAGTTTATAAAGCATTTTCATGGAAATGATCTGTACACTGAAAAGTAATATGCTAGCAGCTATAATTTGGTAAGATGTTATATTAATTTAAGAAGGCTTCTGGAAGGAAGTGAGTTTTTAAATTGGAATCAAAGGCTTGGCGCCTGTGGCTCAAGTGGCTAAGGCACCAGCCACATACATCTAAGGTGGAGGATTCAAATCCAGCCCAGGCCTGCCAAACAACAATGATGGCTGCAAACCAAAAAATAGCCAGGCGTTGTGGCTGGCACCTGTGGTCTTGGGAGGCTGAGGCAGGAGACTTGCTTGAGCCCAGGAGTTGGAATTTGCTGTGAGCTATGATGCCATGGCACTCTACCTAGGGGGACAGCTTGAGGCTGGGTCTCGAAAAAATAAATAAATAAATAAATTGGAATCAAATAGATGGAAGCAAATTATTTCACAAAGTACTTTTCAACCAATGTAGCCTGAACTACCCCATGACCATAATGTACTTGCCTTATGATCACTGTCAAAATAGGGAAAGATCTTCTTTGGGTATTAAATATTAATGCAGGCTCAGTGCCTGTAGCTCAGCAGCTAGGGTGCCAGCCACATACACCAGAGCTGGATGGTTAGAACCCAGCCTGGGCCTACCAAACAACAATGACAACTACAACAATAAAAATACCCAAGCTTTGTGGTGGGGACCTGTAGTCCCAGCTACTTGGGAGGCTGAGGCAAGAGAATCACTTAAGCCCAAGAGTTTGAGGTTGCTGTGAGTTGTGATGTCATGGCTCTCTACCAAGGGTGACATAGTGAGACTCTGTCTCAAAATAAATAAATAAATATTAATGCCTATAAAGGGAGAAGAGATGATACTTTGAGACTTCAGTAAAAAGATGGGATCTCAACTAGCATGGTGGTGGCTCACACCTATAATCATAGCACTCTGGGAGGCTGAGACCAGAGGATCATTTGAGCTCACTCAGGAGTTTGAGATCAGCCTGAGCAACAGCAAGACCCCATCTCTACTAAAAATGAAATAATTAGCCAGGTATTATGGTGGGTACCTGTAGTCTCAGATACTCAGAGGCTGAGGCAGGAGTATCACTGGAACCCAGGAGTCTGAAGATTCTGTGAGCTAGGCTTATGCCATGGCACTCTAGCCTGGGCAACAGAGTAGGACTCTGACTCAAAAGAGAGAGAGAGAAATATTGAACTGAAATATGGAGCTAAAAAAATTACCCAGAATGAAGTATAGAGAAATAAAATCATAGATAAGAAGGAGCGATTCAGATGCCTGAAGGGTAGAAAGAATAAATTCAATATCTGCTTGATAGGCGTTCTAGTAGGAACAAATAGAATGAGGGAGAGGCAATACTGGAAAGAAATGGCTGAGAAGTACCCAGAATTGATGAAAGGCCTGAGTTCTCATATTCAAGAAGCATGAATATAGTCTAAGAGAATAACATGTATCTACAACTAAACAGCAGAACACGAAAAACAGAGAAAGGTTACCATCTGGAAAAAATGGATAGTGAGTAAATAAATGTCATCCTATTTCTCTCTCTAGTGTCACTGAATATAGTATTCCCTATCGTATGCTTGGGGTGATGGCACTTTCTGAGACTAGATAATGATAGGGGTGCACAACCTTGGGAGTGTACTAAATATCACTTAACTCTACATTTTAAAATGGCCAAATGCTAAATTTTACAAGTGTTTCGCAACAATAAAAAGATTATACCAGTTGACGCAAATGAATCAGCAATAAAGCTTACTGTGCATCTTTTCCTAGATGATTTTTAAAACTTTTCTGTTTTGAAATAACTCTAAGCACCAAAGAAATTGCAAAAATAGTACAGAGAGGTCCCATGCATCCATTACCTGTTTTTCCCCAGTGGTAGCATCTTACCCTATAGAACCAAGGGTACTTTTTTTTTTTTTTTTTTTTGAGACAGAGTCTCAGGCTGTCACATCACAGCTCACAGCAAGCTCCAACTCCTGGGCTCAAGCAATTCTCCTGCCTCCACCTCCCAAGTAGCTGTGATTACAGGTGCCTTCCACAATGCCTGGCTATTTTTTGCTTGCAGCCCTCATTGTTGTTGTTGGGCCCAGGCTGGATTCGAACCCACCAGCTCAGATGTATGTGGCTGGCGCCTTAGCTGCTTGAGCCACAGGTACTGAGCCCACTAAGGTACATTATTAACACCAGAGATTTGACATTGGCATGATGTAATTTACTGGCCTACATACTTTATTCACTGTTGCAGTTTTCTACTAGTTAAGATTAACAATTTTAGTGTTCTCATCCCACTGAAGAAAATGTTTTGATTTTTAAAAAATATTAAATTCGGCTGGGTGTAGTGGCTCACACCTGTAATTCTAGCACTCTGGGAGGCCAAGGCAGATGGATTGTTTGAGCTCAGGAATCCTAGACCAGCCTGAGCAAGAGTGAGACCAGTCTTTAAAAAAACAGCAGGGGGTGGTGCCTGTGGCTCAAGGAGTAGGGAGCCGGCCCCCTATACAGGGGAGTGGCGGGTTCAAGCCTGGCCCCTGCTAAAACTGCAAATAAATACATTAATTAATTAATTTTTAAAAAAGAACAGCAGGGTGTTGTGGCACGTACCTGTAGTCCTAGCTACTAAGGTGGCTGAAGCAAGAGGATCGCTTGAGCCCAGGAGTTTGAGCTTGCTGTGAGCTGTGACACCACGGCACTGTACCCAGGGCAACAGAGTGAGATTCTATCTCAAAAAAATAAACAAATAATTTAAATTAAATAAATAAAAAATAAAAATATGAAATTAGTTCTGCCCCCCACTGAAATCTTAAAACCAACTCAAAAGTTTTTCATTTTATTTTTTAATATCTTCCCAAATGTAGGATTGAATTAAGGTTATGGCAGTGGAGATAAAGAAAAGAAGGTGGCTTAGAGATAGAAAGAAATGGATTAAAGATGGATTTGGTTGTCATGGGAAAAGGGAGAATCAACAATACATAGGTTTTGGCTTCAATAACTGAGTAAAGGGTGGGACGATTTATTGAGATAAAGAAGTCTCCGATCAGAGGCTCCAAGAACACTTTCAAGGGTAGGTTTATAGGGAACATCATGAGTTTGGTCTCAGGTTTGTACAGATGACATGGCTCTGAGAATCTAAGCAGAAGCGCAGTAGGCTGTTGGAGAAAGGGTCTAGAGAGCAGAAGGGAGGACTAAGCTGAAGTCACACAACTGGACGGCAGAAACCATACACAAAGCATGTTTCAAGTTCTCTCTCAACCCCTGTTCATTCATTCCCTAAACATTTATTAAGTGATTTTAAGTCTTAGGGATACAGAGATGAAAGAGATAATGTTGGTCCCCATCCTTATAGACCTTACATTTAATGCAGGTAATTTGGATGTCAGAGAAAGGTCACAGTTGTGGCTTTTTCCAGGCAGGCTCGAGGAGGAAGGTCACAATGTGTACTTTGTGATGAGATGTACGATGTAACTGGGATGGCACCAAGGACCCCACTGGACGCTGGTCCTCCCTCCTGTGGGACTGGCCGCATGTTACCTCTCTGCCCTGGTGTCTTCTCTCCCACATGCAGTTAGAGTCCTCTTTGGGGGTGAGCAAATGGATAGGTAGGCAAGAGATGAGGGGCTGGAAGGAGGGGTGGGGTGGAGGGTTGGGGAGCCATGGAGGTGAACAGCACAGAGGGATGCTGGTGCAGCTCACGGCCTCAGCCCCTCATCCTTCCAGGCAAGAAGCTGGTCTGCTGCCTGCCACAGGAGTCTTTGCCTGGGCTCCACATGAAGTGCTCGCAGATTTTAGTCCTGTGGGCCTTTGGGGTGCTCATCTTATGGCTTATGGCCCCCTGCTTGGATCTAACACCTGAATCAGCACCCCAGGAAAAACGGAAGTACCTGGTACCATGGAGTTCCACCTGCCCTTGGTTCAAATTCAGAAAGCGTGGCTGCCCTTCTGAGCCCCTCAACTGCTCCTCCTGCCACCACACATCTGGAGAATGCAACTGGTTTAACATATGCTACAAGAAGACCATGGGGTACCTGATGAGGAGAAAAGAGTCTATGGCCTCTGACAGTGTACTCTGGTGGTTGGTCAGTGGTCAGCCTTGGACCCAGTCCCATCCTCACCCATCTGGCCCAACCCCCTGCCCTAGGCCCAGGCTTAGTGCATCTCCCATCTTCACAGCATCCCCTGACCTCTGGACGGGAGAATCACCCTCCCAGGGCTATGCTCCTTCCCCTGGGCTCAGCCCCCAATCTCCTCTCTCCTGCTGTTCCCAGGGCAGGAACTCAGGGAGCGAGCTTGGGAAAGTGTGGAACAAGGTGTTTAGGGTGATTCGGATACCCTCAGCAAGCCATTTTGATTTCTACTGTGGGACTTGTGCAGTGTTGGGGAGCTCACTGACCCTGCAGGGCTCCAGCCTTGGTGACAACATGGACCAGCACCCCATTGTCTTCGGGTGGGTGCTGAGGAGAGGGTGGGAGTGGGAAGGCCAGGTGCACCCCAAAGTTCCTCCAGTTTCTGTTGTCCTTCCCCCGATGAACCCTGCTCTGAGAGAGACGTGGGGAACTAAAGCACAGGACGCTTTGTCTGTCCCAGGAATGCCAGCAATCAAGGTTCCTGGAGGCAGCTGCTGTGGCTGCTGCAGCTTCCTGACCTGGCATGGACTCAAGAGGCTCTGAGCGAGGAGGTGATGGAGTCATCCTCAGGCATTCTCAGTGTGGGTGTGAGGGGAAGACCAACGCAGGGCAACAGCAGGCGCTCTGGGGAAACCCTCTGAGAGATTACTGGGGGCACTGCAGGGCTTTCTCCACATCTCCAATTCTCTCTTATGTAGCCGAGCCACATTAAAGGCTGCCATAACTTTGTTCTTGATTGACACTGTCTCAAGGTCTGCAGGAAGGGATATTCCTTTGAAGACCCTCGAGATTAGAAAACTAATCTAGTGGGAGGCAGGCACTGAAAACAGAGCATGCTGTGGTCAGGAATTTCCTGAAAGAGACCTGAGTAGTGGTAAATCAAGATAAGGTTATTGTGCTGCTAAGTTAAAGACTATGTCTGTTCTTTACAGATGAATACTTTGTTCTTTGAAGCAAAAAGAAATAAGACTAGTGACTTTTTTGTAACTTTATTGTATTGTAAATGTAAGATTATGTGTGTATGTGCAGAATGCTTTATTGTTACGGTATATAAGTGAGTAAGAAATAAACTAGGAGGTGGGGCCTGTGGCTCAAAAGGGTAGTGGCAGGTTCAAACCCAGCCCTTGCAAAAAAAAAAAAAAAAAAAAAGAAATAAACTAGGGTTGCTGCACGCCTGAGAGAGCTATAGCCCTTTTCTCTTCCAAGACATTCTGACTGCTGAGCCTACTTCCGCGACTCCGGCCCGATCAATTCACACAACATTCTTAGATGTCAGAAGATGGTCCAGTTCCTGAGTGGAGTAGAAGACACCAAAGGCAAGGTGAGCCAGGTGTGGTCAAGGTGGGTGCATCGCCTGAAGTCAGATGTTTGAGACCAGCCTGAGCAAGAGTGAGACCCCATCTCTAAAAATAGCCAGGTGTTGTGGCAGGTGCCTGTAGTTCCAGCTACTCGGGAGGCTGAGTCAAGAGGATCGCTTGAGCCCAAGAGTTTGAGGTTGTTGTGAGCTAGGATGCCATGCACTCTACCCAGGGTGATGGGGTGAGACTCTGTCTCCAAAAACCAAAACAAACAAACAACCCTCCCCTGCCAAAGGCGAGGTGAGGGGACAGGAAGAAACAGGAAGTGGCTGTGGACTGCTGTGCAGAGGACCCCTGGTCAGCCCTCTCCTGCTTCTTTCCCAGCTACAAACTGGGGCAACTGACTGGATGACCAGAGTCAGGACCCATCTCAGGCTCATGTCTCTGCTCTATGTCTTGCATACCTGTGCCCAGGCAGGAGCTGGTGGGCTCAAGTGCTCCTCCTGCCTCAGTCTCCCAAGCAGCTGGGACTGCAGGCGCTTGCCACTGCATCCAGCTTGCCTCACACACTTTTTCACTTCCGTCCTTCTGTTATGCCCTGGGGAATCCTCTCCCTCCAACATAATAAGGAACAGCTGCAAATAATAATAATAATTAAAAAAGGAACAGTTAGTTGGTGCTCTTTGGGGGGCCTCTGGATGCCTTTCTGAGAGTGCTTACCCCCCTGTGTCCAGAGTCTGTGTTCCCTGGAGAAGGTGAGCTCCATTCTCCTCCCAGCTCCCTGAGGCAGCCTGTGATACTAGATGCTGAATGAGGGGAGATGAGGGTAAGGACAGGAATCTGCTTGCTGACACACATATCCCTTTCTCTTGTGCCAGGTTGTGGCCCCTTTGGATTTAGAGCAGAACAGCAAGGAAAGTGGTTCTATTACTGGGAGGATCAAAATCAGGCCAATGGCTGCAAGGAGATACTGTCCTTGAATGGTACAGAGCAGAACTGGAAGTCGTTCCTCAGCTGGATGGCGTGGGCAAGCTCACTGTCCACATGTGACACATGATGCCTAGCTGAGTCCAACAAGTCCTAGTCCTTTGGGTCTGAGTGCACGGGAGTGCTGCGATTACAGCAGCAGCGGCAGTGGCAGCAGTGTGACTGTGAAGGCTCAGGGGTAGTGGGCAAGAGGAAATGTATAGAGATCAGTCTGGTACTAAATAAAATCCCTCCTGATTCTCTTCCCTGTAAGCACCTTATCTGGGAAAGAAGGGCCAGGCTTGACTTCCAGATCCTGGGAGCAATATTTATTTTAATTTATCCACCTGATAACCTGGAGCATGGGGAGGTATAATTTAGACCTTACTCCACGAAAAGTGCAAACCCAGACTGAATTGCTGGGGGAGGTTCTTTTCCCACACAGATAAACCTCCTTGTTTCATCCGTGTTGTGGGGTAGGTTTCTTTTCTAGCTGAGGTTTTCACCTGACAGTTTGCCATTTTGAAGTTCCCAGATTTTTTAGGGACCTTGGTTCCAATTCTTTGCCTTTACTGAGTTCAAGGCTCTCTGCCGACATGGGGATTAGACTCCTGAATTTCCAGGGCCGGGCTCATGCCTGTAATCCTAGCACTCTGGGAGGCCGAGGCGAATGGATTGCTCAGAAGTTCTAGACCAGCCTGAGTAAGAGCAAGACCCGGTCCCTAAAAACAGCTGGGTGTAGTGGTAGGCACCTGTAGTTGCAGTTACTTGGGAGGCTGAGGCAAGAGGATCACTTGAGCCCAGAAGTTTCAGGTTGTTATGAGATATGATGCCATAACATTCTACCAAGGGCAACATAATGAGACTCTGCTTCAACAAACAAACAAACCCTCCTGAATTTCTGGGCTGTTCTCTTTTCAATTTTGGCTTCTGGGGACTTCCTGTTTTTCTTTCGCTCTTTGCTCTGTATTTATGATCATTTCTATTAAAACAATATATGAGTGGTGGCGCCCGTAGCTCAGTGGGTAGGGTGCCGGCCACATACACCGAGGCTGGTGGGTTCCAACCTGGCCCAGGCCAGCTGAAACTACAATGACAACTGCAACAACAACAACAACAACAACAACAACAACAACAACAAATAGCCAAGCATTGTGGTGGGTGCCTGTAGTCCCAGCTACTCGGGAGGCTGAGGCAAGAAAATCACTTAACCCAGAGTTTGAGATTGCTGTGAGCTGTGATGCCAGAGCACTCTAGGCAGGGCAATAGCTTGAGACTGTCTCAAAAAAAAAAAAATATATATATATGGTTTGTACATATGCAGGCTTGTAGGAATTGCCTCAGGGAGAGGACAGGTGGGGGGAACAAGGGATGGATGGATACTTTTCCTTCATTTCCTGTTTGTACCATTCAGGTTATGTACCACACATCCACATTATATATTCAAAAACAAATACAGTTTTTATTTATTTATTTATTTATTTTTTTGAGACAGAGCCTCAAGCTATGCACCTTGGTAGAGTACCATGGCTTCACTGCTCACAGCAACCTCCAACTCCTGGGCTCAAGCG